CACCTAGGACAGGTTATTTTCCTTTTTCTGCTATTTGGCTACTAGCAGCAGCTAGAGCCTTTCAGGAAAAATGGCCGTTTTGTTTTGGGGGTGTACAACCAAATGCAGGACTCCTGGCTGCTGCTTTTCCATGTCTCCCCACAATGCTTCCCCCCAGCCTCTCCGTAGGCACCTGGAATCCACACAGCCCACCCTTCAGCAAAGCTCGGGTAAATAGTTGCAAATGAAAACTCCTGTGCTCTGGGTTAAAAAAAAACAAAAACACACCAAAAAACAGAAACAGAGGCTTTCTCTCTCTAGGCTCCAGTCTACCAGTTCCAGACTTTGAGGTGGCCAGCAGCCCTGCTGCCTTTCACGGCTGGATGTTACCTGAACTGCTGGTCTCGTGTCTGGTGCTCCAGGCTGTGGAGCCCAGCCTAGGTTCCAGGCCTCAATCGTCTAAGGCAGTGGTTCTCAACCTTGGCTTCACATTAGAATCACCTGGGAATCTTTTTAAAATCCTGATTTCTGGGCCTCGTCCTCTGGAAATTCTGTTTCTTTGTTACTAATGTTGTGGCCTCCCCCCATAACAAAGAAACAGGAGCCCAGCCTAGGTTCCAGGCCTCAAGTGTAGAAGGCAGTGGTTCTCAACTTTGGCTGCACATTAGAATCACCTGGGAATCTTTTTAAAATCCTGATTTCTGGGTCTCATCCTCCGGAAATTCTGTTTCTTTGTTATGGGGTGAGGCCACAACATTAGTAACAAAGAAACAGAATTTCCGGAGGATGAGGCCCAGAAATCAGAATTTTAAAAAGATTCCCAGGTGATTCTAATATGCAGCCAAGGTTGAGAACCACTGCTCTAAGGAAACAGACCCTCCCATAGCTCAGACCTCCCCTCGAACTCTCAGCCTGCCCCTGGAAGCTGGGTCAGCCCCTCTCTTGACCTCTCCTTTCCTATGGGTCGCCAGGTGTTTTTCTGTCATTCCTTGATATAAGCCTCTTCCTCAGCTGGACCTCAATTGGTCATTTCTGGTGTATGTTCCCCACTTTAGTTTTATTTCCGGTCTGGCCCTGGGAGGAGGTGCAAGAAAGGTCTGCTTATTCAGCCACCATTTTTTCAAGTCCAGGAGTCTAAGTTTTAATGGGTGATAAACCTTACATTCTGTAGGAGGAAGGACTTTTCCTTTTTTGCTTTTTAAGAATGGGGCAGACCCTGGCTAGTGTGGCTCAGTTGGTTGGACATTTTTACAGGCAGTGAAAGGTTGCCAGTTTGATTCTCAGTCAGGGCATATGCCCGGGTTGTAGGCTTGATCCCTGGTAGGGGGCATGCAGGAGGCAGTTGATCAATGTTACTCTCTCACATTGATGTTTCTCTCTCTTTCTCTCCCTTCCTCTCTCTAAAAATCAAAAAACTTTCTTTGAAAGATTGTGGCCGAAATGTATGCTGAAGTAGCCAGCTAATCCTTATTTTTTTCTTTATGTAAATTTGGTCTCAGAATATTTCTGGAAGGGTCATGTTTCGAAGAAGGCACTGTGATGACTGGCTTCCATTGCAGTCTCTAATCCTGGGCACATGGCTACCCTATTCTGTAGCTTTAATCAGGTGCTGATTACTAGTCAACGTGCTACAGATCATTCTCCCAAAGTTAGCTGCCTTTTAGATGGTGGCATTTGAGCATCAGGACTTGGCCATTATGTTTGGAGACATAAGGCAAAAGTCATCTGTTCTAATTTCTTTGTTGGCAGTATAAGAGAACACCTGATTACATCCCACACCATGACAGTTAAAAATTACCCCCTTTTCTCCAAAGTAACAATCTCCAAAGTTCCTTCACAGTGTCACATCCTAACGGAAATTTCTACGTTTTCTCTTCCCCAAATGTCCATTCCAGCATCATATGTTCCAATTTTGTGAAAGTAATTTCTGTCTATTTAAAAAGGGCCTCCTGCCATTGTAGCTGTTTTGACAAGAAGAGTTGATTGTCTTTCTTTCTGTCCGTTTTTCTTTGGGTCATTTAAGAACCTGCCATGTGCTCAAAACTCTCATAGCTGATTACATCAGTGGCAGGACATACCACATTGTCCTGTCTTGTTTGATCCTGGCTATGAGAGGCTCTAGCCTAGTGGAATTCATAATGAGTGTCTGAGAAGGTGATCATTTGGCCTTTAGACACAGCAACTCTTCTGAATCTAGTTCTAATTAATCCAGAACATTTTTCCATTTGAATTACATGAACTGGCACTTTTAATTTTTTCACCTAATTCTTTCGAGGTCTTTGCAAAAAGCCTCTTTCACTGGCATCATTTACTAGAACAATTTCTTCTAGCACGTGTGTTGGTGAGCAATTAATGATACTATGGACAGTTGGCAGACGTGTGCTCAAAGCCTCATTGTGGAAAACAATTACCATACTGGTTGTAGGACCAGAGCAATACTTTAAAAAACAGAGGTTCATTCATGTGCCTTTCTCTACTTAAGCCTCTCCAGTGGCTTCCCTTCACATTCAAAATGAAATCCAAAATCTATACCATGGCCTTTTAGGCCTTACAAGATCTTCCTCCTGTTCCTCCTGGGCTTCTCTCCCACTACCACCCCCTTGCTCAATCCACTCTATCATATTGGCTTTCTTGCTGCTCTGTGACCATGCTAGGCACTGTTCGGCTTCAGAGCCTTTGCATCTACCGTTCCTTGGGATTGCAGAGCTCTTCCTCATTAGCTGAGTGGCTTGGTCCTTTACGTCATGCATGACTCTGCCCAATATCACTTGATCGCAGAGGATTTCTGTGGCCACTCCACTAGAATTAACCCCTGCCCCAATCACTTTCTGTCCCCTTGCCCTGCATTAGTTTTCCTCTGGGACACAGATCATAGTCACCACCAATGACTGCCTCGCTAGCTCTAAAGAGCTAGGTGGGACCTTCTCTATTTTTTCATTGTTGGTTTCCCTGCTACCTGGAATAGTATCTGGCACTTAGTAGAGAATTAATAAATATTTTTGAATGAATGAATGTCCTCAACTGTAACATAAACATAGCAACAAGTTTCATGGAGTTATTTCTTATAACACTCTCTGTATAGGCCAGGGGCATTTAAGAGCAAGGGCATTTGGGCCCACTTGGTACTGCCCAAGTATGTAGCTTCAATTAAGCTGCTTAATCCTGGCACAGGTTTTAGTGTATTAAGAGAAAGGATGAATGACATAATCTTTAGGCAATTTCTCCCAAATAACAGTTTTTCTTGGTTGCACTTTTGAAAGGTGGTGAGAAGTAGTTGATTCAATGCTGCCGGTCCAGAGTAGAAAGGTTAGCAGAGCTGGAGGAGGGTGTATGAAAACTGTAATTGTGAAATGGAGGCTCTGAACAAGAACATGCACTAGGACCAAGCATAGCCCAATTCTCCTACACCCCAGGAGAAAAAACTTACATAATATTGATGAAAAGCCGCTTTATAGATGAGGGTGTCCATTTTACTCAAGGTGCTATCAGTTTGCGTGTGTGTGTGTGTGTGTGTGTGTGTGTGTGTGTGTGTATGTATGTATGTTAAGAGACTGCACACAATCTTTCCTTTTGGATAAACCCAGCTTATACCATGAAGCGTTGGGCCACTAGGTCTCTCCTGATGCCTTCTTAGTCTTCCTAGATCTGCTGATACCCTTAGGAATTCTGGGTGGAAATGATTGCCCTTAACATACACCAGATGCCTAGGCATAAGGTTTTTGAAAATGAGCCTACTAAACTTTGCTTTTCTTGTGGCATAGGCCATATCCATGATTGTGTAAATAGAACCAAAATTATATCAGGGAGAACCCATTTACCAAAGTCCTGAGTATTCCTATCATATTAGACGTGCTGCTTCTTCCAGACAAAGTCAAGCCCTATGACTTGAACACCTGGGGAAAAAAATCTTAGTATGCATTTTATGGCTTTTTGTGATGAAAGCTGTTTGAGTAGCTTGATTTAATTTTCTCTTATAATGAGTAACCTAAAAGTAAAAGCTCTCTGAACGCAAACTACATGCTATGAACTCTAATCGCTCTGTTCAATAACAGTAATCATGTAAAAAATATTATTGATACTGACTCAATTGGGTTCAAATTCTGCACCAAAATTTTCCCATTTTCTTTATATTGGTATAAGAAATTTATAAACCTTTCTAGGTAAAATAGAAGCCATCCTATCTAATAAAGAGGGAATATGCTAATTGACCCCCATGCCATTGCAAAAGATGGTGGCACCCACAGCCAATAAGGAGAGAATATGCTAATTGAATGCCCCGCCCTCAAAGATGGAGGATCCCACAGCCACAAGATGGCGGCGCCCAATCCCCTCAGCCCCACCAGGGCCTTGCCGCGCGCCTGCCTCAGGAGTCCCCCAGTCCCCTCAGCCCCCCAGCCGCCTAGGGCTGGCCCAAGGTGCAGGCAAGCCTCAAATGGTGGCTGCTCAGCCGCCCAGGGCTGCCTGAGGCTCAGGTAACCAGGGCTGGCCGAGGCTTGCGCTGCCGGCAGTGGCAGCAGCAGAGGTATGATGGGGGCGTCGCCTTCCCCTGATCGCCGGGTTGCCTCCTGCCCCTGAGGGCTCCCGGCCTGTGAGAGGGGGCAGGCCGGGCTGATGGACCCCCTTCCAGTGCATGAATTTTCATGCACTGGGGCTCTAGTAATGATAATATTAGACTTTTAATTTCTTATCTGAATTCCCTATCATTCTTCCTCTTTATAAATACTTCTATAACTTCTTTCTTTTTGTCTCTAAAGTTAGTGATGTGAGTTAATTATCTCATTTTATTATAATCATCTTTCACAATTCACTATTTAATAAATATAAGGAATGTGAGATTTTACTACCAGAGGACTGTAAAGATATCTTTTTTAAATGATTGATATTTTTAGTATAGTATTTTAACCAAATTCTGTGTCCTGTACCCAGAACAAAGAGATTCATTTTAAAGGAATCAGCCAAGGAGAGTGGTATTCCCAATGTAAACTCTACAGCCAGAGTGTGTTATTTTTTGTTACATCACACCTGCCACATACTGGGGAAGTATTTGACTGCTTAACATTTTCATGATTCATTTTTTCTGTCCTCAAATTTTGGGTTACAAAATATATAGCAACCAGACTTTTCTTAAACCGACAGCTCTCCATTTCTTGGTACTATTCTCCCATCTGTGAAATCTAGTCCCTCCTGGAACTCACGGCCTGTGCTCCAGAGACTTGGCTGTTGGGTTTGGATGGCACAGATACAGACCCTGGTGGGGACCAGAAAGAAGGGAAAACACAAATAGCTTTATTTTACCTAAAACTAATGGTTCTAGTAAAAAGTTTTAAAGCTGCAACTTCACCTAAGTTAGAGTTTGATAATTATGTATGGATTTTGGACAATTCTCCCATTGGTATTTTGAAAGGCAGAGAATTTCCTAGCTATGCAGTAAGAGGTAAAGAAGAACAGCTGAACTGTGGTGCCATTAGGCCTACTCATCTCTTACCCCACTCTGCAAATTTCCCATAAAAACAAAACAATTTAAAATGATAGCTACAAAGGCCCCAGGTACTGACTTTCAAAATAAACCTAAACCATGAAATATCCTCATATTTCCAATTTCCACCAAAATAGACAAATAAACTCCACCAGTTAGTTTACTGATTTCCTTAGCATACCTAAATGCCACTGGGAGTGTTCTTGATTCTAGAATTTCTGTGACTTGTGTGTGACCAAGTAATACTCTTTGCCTGCTCAGTATCTACAGATGCTGTCCAGGGCTCCAACAAAATCAGTGAATGCATTGCTTTTCAGTTTCTGTCAACTTCCCAAGGAACAAAGGCATTTCTGTGATGATTGTATCTCCCATTTTATCAAGGTTTTCATTTGGCTACCAAGACAATGCTTTTGAGAGACTTTGTGTGAAAAAGGTCCTTTTCTGGGTGAGCTGATTCACAAACCTTAAAGATTAAATCCACTCCCATGATAACTGCAATATTGGTTATCTAATGAGACAATTTTTTACTAGCCTTTCCCCAACTGCATTACCAAGAAAAAAATGCCAAGAATATAAAAAATACAGATTTGGGTAAAAATTTGAATTTTTATAATTTTAATTTGTCCACTGCTTGGCTTCTTGTTATTTTCAGATGCTGACTCTATGCTCATCTGCATAGTGGGATTAAATGATTGTTTATATTTATAGGACCCTTTTTAGCAATTAGAATAAGAATAATAAAAATACTCGTACTCCATTCTCTAACCATCTGGATTCCACTTGAAACCCCACACCTGGTGGTACTTACTTTTATCCTCATCATACGACCCTCCAGAGCTATTGCTGTACCTTGACTCCAGGCGAGTATGGGCTCTGATGACGTTATTAAACCTTCAAATACAAGAACAGCCATCATTAAATACTGCTGTGTGTGTATGTGCTATTTTCATAAACACATACTATTATTTAGTGATTGAGTTTTTGGCAGCTAGTTCCAATGATGCTTTTCCTAAAGAAATACTGCAAAAATTGTATCACAAACATTTATTTTTCCCTGGAGAGGTCTAGTGGTTGCTTTTGCTCATAAGCATAGTTTAAACCTAGAACAGATAAACATTTTAAGGCTATACTGAACTGGAGAATTATAACATTTGTTTGGAAATGAAATGGAGTGATACTGAATAATATACATTCCTTATTCAAATGATAGCCTGGCAGCTGGAAGGTGGTCAGTAGCTAACTGATGCATGATTAAACATTGAAAATTGACAAGACATAAAAAAGTGGTTCATAATATATCTTGGACTTTACTGGCTTTAAACTTTCTCTTAAAATGATAAGAGGGTTTTAAAAGAATATGGTTTTTAATTGTTGAGAGAGAGAGAGAGAGAGAGAGAGAGAGAGAGAGAGAAGAGAGAGAGAGAGAGAGAGACATCAATGTATCAATGTGAGAGAGAAACATCAACTGGCTACCTCCTGCACACTCCTTACCGGGGATCAAGCCTGTAACCCAGGCACGTGCCCTGACCAGGAATCACACTGGCAACCTTCTTTTAGTGCATGGGTGAATACTCAACCAACTGAGCTACACCAGCCAGGGCAATTGGAGGGTTTTTAGAAAAAGGTAACTAGTTGGGTTGTAAAATAACCAGAGAGGCTCTTTCTGTCTGGTCTCTCTGTGGATTAAGAAGTAACGCCCTCCCACCCCTCTGCTGCCAAAATGGTAGAAATATAGTAACTTCACACACATTATTCATTTACTCTCACTTACTCATCTTTGACAAAAGCACTGTTTACTTTATGAATGAGGAAACAGGCCAAGTGAAACAGCTTGTCCAGTGTCATGCAGAAGACAATGGCAGCGCAGAAATGCTTTTGGTTCCAATGAGAGAAGGCAAGACACGGGATTTTAGGACAAAACTTTCACTAGCTCTATGACCTTGGCCAAGTTCTTTACTTTCATGGGGTCCCTGTTTCTACACCTGCCAAAAAGTAATACTAATAATACTTCACCATTTATTTTGTTGGGGTTGTAGAAATCAAAAGAAATGATACGAAAATGTTTCCAACACTGTGAGGTACCATCAAACTCTAAGGTACTAATTATTATCCTATATAGGTAATATGCAAATGGTTGTTACGCCATGATGTGTAACGACCAACAGCAGGAGGGCGGGGCAGTGAGCGGCAAGCAGCGGAGAGCTGAGGGCGGGGCAGCTAGCTACATGCTGCGGAGAGCTATGAGCAGTGGTGGGCCAGGCGGCCAGCTGAGGCAAGTGGCAGTGAGCTACTCGCGCACAGATTTGTGTGCAGGGCTACTAGTATTTAATAATAATATAATAATTATTTCTAGATTTCTAGAACACTTTTTCCTCTTCAGGGCACCAGAGACTTTTAAACCAATAGCATTTGAATATCATCTGAAGATCTATAAGGCAGGGCAAGGGTATGGGTGTGGGGAAATGGCATGTCTATATTTATTTTATACAAAGTGATACAGAACAGGTTTGATCTACTTAATATGTATGCAGCCAAAACAAACAACTAAGGCAATCAATAAATATCTGGAAAACTCAAGCCAAAGTAGGGATGTGCCCCTACATTACTGACTGTATATTCTGCACTAATTGACAGCAGGTCAACACCCTGTTTCACTTTAGCTGTTCTCACCAGTGCATGGAGCAAGAGTGATGTTTCAGGAAAAAGTGCTGGATGTGCCATTATGAGCCTACCTTGTCCCACGTGTGCATTTGTGACTGGATTTGCTAAATAAGTAAATGCTCAATTTATAGTGACTGTAAAGACTATAATGATTTTTGTTTTATTCACTTCTTAGATACTTGTAGCAGCTTTTTTTTTTCTCCTGACACATCCATCTTTTCCCCAGTCACTCTATATTTCAAACATTCTTTATTGTCCTATCTTTTGGGCTATTACTTTGTGAATCCATAAAACAGAAACTCAAGGACATCTGCTTAGTTTCATACAAATCAGGCCACACAATTGGCACCTAGGGAATTGAAAAAGTGACAACCTATTAACTTCTGAAATTCTTTAATCATATTTATTCTGATAAAGGCAAAGTCATAAATAGCATATGAAGAGCCAAGGGATCATTCAGCAATAGGGCAGCGATCTAGCAGCACAGGTGCTGAGGCATTTAATAGGTTAGAGGACTCCAGGGCAGTCACAACTCCAGAGCACAACTCCAGGGCAGTCGGCCTCACGGCAGATACTCTCCCACTTGTAGCCCCTGCCCTGTGTCATGCCCAGGACAGAATCAGAGGACAGGCATGAGGCCTGAAGGGGCATTCTGGGCTGAGGTATTTTCATTATTTAATCCATTGCAGTCTCTGCAATAGGAATTTATATCTCATCCTTGTTACTCACTTCTTCAGTGAAAGTGCTCCCCATTCCTTTTCACTAAAAAACGCTCAGCCCTAAAGTGTTTTCAACACCATGGAATCATACTAATTTTTAATTTGAGTCCTGTTGATATCTTTTGGTTGTGTCTCTGCTCTTCACAATCAACTAGGGAACAATGATCCAGATTTTATTTACTTCTGAGTAGGTCCTGGGCAACTAAAGGCAGAGATGTGGGCAAAATGAATATTATCGAACAGCCTATGGGAAGGGGATTAAGACTTATTTGAGCAGAGGAAGATAGTGTTCTTGGTAAACCAAGACCTGACAAAGTAAAGGTGAAATAAGAAATATGATGTTTCATAGAATTCACTTCAAGACCACTACTCCATCTCTAAGAAATTATTCAATACTCAGATTTGAAAATTTCACATGAAAATTCCCTCTAATTCCAGATGGTCTTTGCAAGTAGCAGGACAGCTCATGGTTTTTGTTCGGCCCTAAGAGAAGTGGAGTTCAGCTCAGGAAGAAATTGTTATCTACTGGGATATACAGAGCAGTGTTAGCAAGTCAGTCATAGTTTCTAAGAATAAAGAAGGATTTGTATGTGTGTGAAATTTATAAAGCCTACAAATTTTTATTGATGCCTCTGTATACTCTACAGTTAAAGTGGATATCAAGCCAATTTGTGAACCAACCTCTCATCAGACTCTTTCATGATCTTGCCCTCCTCAGCGTCTGGGAAACTGTCCTGGCCGGCAACCACTGTGTTGCTGCTGGAGGTGGTTCCTGTGGATTAGAAGACACTTAGAAAAAAAATACATGTGGAGGGGGTCAAAGTCAAGTCTCAATATTCCAGGAAAGGATTTCCTGTGAAATTTCATGTTTGAAGGATGCCTTCTATTTTCTGCACAATCACAGACATTCTAAATAAACTCTAAGCCCACTCCACTGAAATAGGAGAATCCCAGACATCTGTAATAGTCAAACCTAATTCCTGGACTCTCCTATAATCCGAGGTCACAACATTCCTGAAAACTTTTCTTAGGTAATGAGCTATTTGCAATGGCCGTCCCTGCTGTTAGCTGCTTTAGCACTTCTGGGTCTAGGAGTTATTAGTTATTGAGCTAATGTTAGTGAAACAACTCAGGAAACTGTCTGACATCTAGGCTACTGCTTGCCTGCAGGAATGCTGCTTTGGCACTAGATGTGGGGAAAACAGAGGGCATGAGAGACGGTCAGGAGAGAGATTTGAAAGCAGTTGTGATATTAGATAAACCAAAACAAAGCTGGCTTCAATGAATTTGAGGAGGACTGCATACATTTCATAAAATGATGCTGAAAGGCCAATTTATGGAAAGTGGTAATATTGTTAGAGGCATTTTAGTCAATTCTGAGAGAATATTCACCAAGGGAATCCCATAAACACAAGATGGAAGGTAAAGACTGAGATTCCTAAGTGATGCTGTGTCCGACCTGGGATCAGCCTAAAGTATAAAACTCTGGGCATGTGAATACTGGGCCACCAATTGTCAGTTATGCTTACAAAATCATTTCATTAATCTCAGCTATTCTTAAGCTATCTTTCTTTTTTAAAGTTATTTTTCAATTACTTTGGACATACAATATTATATGTTTCAGGTGTACAACATAGTAATTACACATTTATATACCTTATGAAGTGATCACCTCAGTAAGTCTACTACCCAGCTGACACCATACATAGTATTTACAATATTATTGACTATATTCCCTATGCTGTACTTTACATCCCTGTGACTATTTTGTGACTACCAATCTGTACTTCTTAATCCCTGCACCTTTGTCACCTAGCCCCCCTCCCCTCTGGCAACCATGAGTATGCTCTCTGTTTTGTTTATTTGTCTATTTTGTTTTTAGATTTCACACAAAAGTGAGATTATATGGTATTTGTCTTTGACTGACTTGTTTCATTCAACATAATGCCCACTAGGTCCATCCATACTGTCATAATTTAAACCACCTCTTAAATGAAAATACATGCCAGAATAAGAAGTAGCAACACATTCATATCCTTCCAGTGCTCCACACAGAGGAACATCAGAGACCCAGGACAGGCTGTCCACCGACCCTACCAGAGGCTGCTGTGGAGACCTTGCTGCTGGCAGCAAAGTGGTAGAACGGTGGGTTGTCACAGTGCTGGACGATGGGGTTCACGGGCTCCGTCTGCTGCAGCTCAAAGAGCAGCTCTTCCATGGTTTGAATGGTGTTATTACGGCACAAGTATATCACCACCTTTTTAATCTAAGAAGAAAAACAGAACACAGGGACGTTTCAACAATAATGCCAGTGGGTTGGCAGCAAAGAATGAAGTTATCTCCAGGAGCTATCACCCTGGTAGCTGCCCGGAGACAATCCTAGTGTCTGGATTAAACTCACCTTCTCTATAGCACATCTGATGGGAGTGTGTGTCAAAGGCCTTACCCTTCCTTATGGCTGAGTTTACAAAAGTTACTTTTGGGGCTCCTGAAATCTACCTAAAAGCAAAGAACATGCCATCTAAAGTTTTATCTTGAGAAAGGATTTTATTTATACAAACCATGGGAAAAAACTGAGAGCTATTTTTGTTTAAAAAGAAATTTGGTCCCCTGCTATTCTCTTCTCCCCTAGAAACAAATGAATTTTAGCTGTTTGGATGATTTTACATTTAAAAAATAACTCTGATAACTCTGAAATAAAGCTCTGTGCTACTGGAGCCCTCAGAGTCAAACCTGAGGTGTGGAAGCTGCAATGAGGCTGATGGAGCTTAAAACAGCAGGTGGGCCCAGGATCTCTCAGGAAACAGCCATACACAAATGCCAAGTGAGTTAGAGCTTAAAAATGCTGTTGTTGTTGATGATCATGTCACTTTTGACTACAAACACCATATACTGGGCATCTCAGAAAGATTTCTCTCTGCTTAGACTTATCTTCTACTAACTGAATTTGAAGAGAAAAATCTGGGTATTCTGCATTTTTATTCTGTTTTAAGAGCATCAAAATGTAAACATGAAATATTTTTATTAGAAATAATATGCTTTACTTAGTTTCTCTTACATAATGGGTCTAATGTTTATAGAAGTCAGCCTCAGTAACTGATAAGAGAACATTCACCTCTTAAATCATAGGCTTCTGTGTCCAAAGGCTTGGCAGGGGGATGACAGAGGCATCACTAGGACATTGCAGCCTGTTTCTCAGGGGGCAGAAGGGACCTTTTATGTAGCATCTAGACAAGATCATGGGAGATGAGCATGACTGACCATATTAGACATCTCTATTTTACTTGGAGTAAAGGGCACATTCTGACTTGCGCTTGCAGATGGAGCCACCAACAAGATAACGCCTGCTGAGAGCCCAGGGAAACTTACATAGGGCAAGAGAAGTGTGTCACTGCTAACCCCACACAGGCTGATCAGAAACTGCAGAGTGACCCTCAAGTTGTTACTCCACTTCTCATTGTTGGCTAGAGCATTCCAAACATTTTCCATTTCCGGTCCAGGAACTTCATCCCCATACTGCAACAAACAAAAGAAACACTGACCCAGGAGACATGGGGAAAACGCAGGGATGCAAAATGTTTGATTATAAGTTCTTTTAAGGGTCATGGCTATCTCAAAACCATAGAAGGGGACACATGGCCAGCCATCCGAAAGATGCCACTTTCAGCAATTTATAACGCACAAATTAGTAATGCACAATGCTTATTCATGTGATTAAAAACGTTAGACTTCTTATTTTATAATTTTTAAAACTGTGGTAAAATACATATAACATAAAGTTTACCATCTTAAACATTTAAAAAAATATTTTTTTATTTATTTCAGAGAGGGAGGGAGAGGGAGAGCGAGATAGAAATATCAATGATGAGAAAGAATCACTGATCAGCTGCCTCCTGCACAGCCCCCACTAGGGATCAAGCCTACAACTCGGGCATGTGCCCTTGATTGGAATCGATCCCAGGACCCTTCAGTCCACAGGCCGACACTCTATCCACTGAGCAAACCCGGCTGGGGCTTAACCATTTTTCAGTTACAGTTGGGAGTTTAAGTACAGTCACAGCGTGGTGCAGCCATCACCGTCACCCTGTTCACGTGATTTTTAATGACAATTGCCACTCTCCCTGGGTTTGCAGCCTAGGGTTTGATGAGCCCAGATTTTCTGGGATGATGGAGCCACGTTATGGGGGCACGATACCTTCGCCGTCATGTACATGAGGTTATTCAGGACTAGAGACGTAGCTTCTGGGGAGCCCCAGCCATTCCCTTTCAGCCCATGAGAAGTGGTCACTTCTCCTTCCTGGTTCTTGCTGTCATCCTCTGGACTACTGGGGCTCGACCCCGGGAGGAGGAGTTTGCTGTCCACCAGCTCGATGTTGTGCAGCCAGGGCAGCAGGTAGGTGAGCATAATCTGACGCCCATTTGGGTGCGTTGTGGGGAACCTCTGGCTTACCTCTAAAGAGAAGGGTGGTGATGGAGAGCCATGTGTTATGGCATTAAAATAAAGTAAAACATTAACACTACTGACAGATAGCACAGGGCACTTGCATACACAGCAGCTCCCCAAGGCCATGGAATCTTAAAACTGATGCTTGTCCTCTAGCCTTTCCCTTCAAATCTGGTGCCCTGTGGGGGAAAGTGAGAAAGCACAGTGGGAAGAGCATGGCTTGGTGAGAGTGGAGTGAGGGGGAGGCCCCCTGAGTTCAATCCATTGCTGATAGAAGAGGTACATTAGAGTGGACAGAACAAGGGACTTGAGACCAAATGGACATGTGATTAGATCCAGTGCCTCCACACACTAGCTGCACGAGACTCTGGGTTAGTTACTTAACTTCTCTGTTCCTCAGTTTCCTCATCTGTCAAATGAGGCCACTGGGTTCCACATTGGGCTATTGTGAGGGTTAAAGATAGAATCATAATGTATGTAATATGCTCAGCTTGCTGCTTGTTATTTCATAGACTCAAATAAATAGTGGCTAGGAATATTAGAACAGTGGCTGTCTTTCCAGTGCACCAATAGCATTCCAATAGAGCATCTTCTATGCCAGTGATGGCGAACCTTTTGAGCTCGGCGTGTCAGCATTTTGAAAAACCCTAACTTAACTCTGGTGCCGTGTCACATATAGAAATTTTTTGATATTTGCAACCATAGTAAAACAAAGACTTATATTGTTGATATTTATTTTATATATTTAAATGCCATTTAACAAAGAAAAATCAACCAAAAAAATGAGTTTGTGTGTCACCTCTGACACGCGTGTCATAGGTTCGCCATCACTGTTCTATGCACTACTAGCTGTTAAAAAATGGGATGGAAGTCTCCGGGAAAAACCCATCCATTGTGCAAACTCCTGTCCATGAAGTCCACTTGAAAACTGCCAACTATGTGGAAGCTCCGTGCTCAATGTTCTGTTTCATGACATAAATGAATCAAAGGGTGAGACTATGCGTGCAGCCCAGTCATTTCACTACAACTTTCTCTGATAGCATGTTGCATGCGTTCACAGCCAGAGGCATTTTAATTTCATAACCTGAATGAGCTTTCTATAGAAATAAAGCACAGCTTTATGCATGTGCTGCAAGATCTAAGATAACCTCTGATTTCTACCTTCTCCCACTCAGCTAATAAACTTGCTAAAATAAAACCTCACTCATCCTCTGACTCGGCAACCCCAGAGCCCCACCCTCCCTCTTTCCTTCTTTCTCAGTCACACAGCTGAGATCTGGCTCCTGCTGTTATGTCTCCAAGGAAACTACTGACAGTTACCAATGAATTGAGAAATCCAGAGGGTAATTTTAGATCTTATCTTTTGGGATCTCTCTATTCCATTCAAGGCTGTGGACTGTTCACTCCCTCCTCATAAATCTTCTTTTTCCCGGTTTCCATTAAAATCACCTAGACAGTGGGCCTAGGTGTTCTCTCTCAATGTGCCTCCATGCCCTCCCTCACCCTTCCTTCCTTGACCCAGTGCTTGGAAATTGGGTGTCCAGGTTCTTTCTTTCACTCTGGGTTCTGTACAAACACAATCTCATCTGCTCCCTTGGTTCTAAATCCTTCTGTTCCTCCATGAGGTGCTAGTGCTGGCCTCCCCTTGACGCTGGTCTGTCTATACAGAGACCTACACTCAGTATCCCAAGCTGAGCTCATGTTCCCCACGTCACCCTAAACCTTCTCTTCTCCCTGAATGGCTCTCAAGATGGGGTCATCACCACTGGCCCCCAGGTTCACACAGGCACTCTTTTGTGTGCTCCACCCAGGATTCATCACCCTGGTCTCTCCTCTCCACTTGCTCTGGGCTGTCTTAGTTCCAGCCTTCATAACTTCCTCCTTGGATGACTGTCATCATTTCTCAGCTGGTCTCCTCTCTCTAGACTGCATGTCCTCTAGTGCTCCCTCCACACTGTAGCCCATCTTTCTAAAATGCATTCTTGTTTGAAACTGATCAGTGGCTTTCAAAACCCAAGCACCTTGCCTGGATGCCCTCCCTGTTGTTCACAGGGCTCCGAGGGGTTTCAAGAAAGACATGGAGATCACTGGCCTACACACTCCTTAGGGAGCAATACAAGGCTTTCCAAGATTTGACTCCTGCTTCTATCTGTCCATGACCTTCCCCTGTCCCTGTATATGTTATGTTAGCCAATTGACCACTATATAGTCTCTCAAATACAACCTGCTATTTGACACCTCTGAGCCCAAGCATACAACATTTCCTCGGTCTGTAATGCCTACCTGCTTACCCACATAATGTCAACTATTTGTCTGCTTTGCAAATTTCTACTTCTTTTGAACTGCAGCTCAGACAACACATTCTCTGAGAAGTCTTTCCTGATATCCCTGGCCCAATAATCGATCACACCTTCATCTTCCAGCAGAATGTGCTTTATTTATTACAGTTTCTACACTGTATCCTTCAGTGCCTGGCTGCCGGCCGCCATCTTGGCTGACAGTTAATTTGCATATACTCACTGATTAGCCAATGAAAAGGGTAGCGGTCGTACGCCAATTACCATGTTTCTCTTTTATTAGTGTAGATTATGATGAACCTTTGATGGGAGAGACTGTTTTATTTACCACTGTATTCTGAGGACCCATGAACAGTGCCTAACATTGAAGTGGCCCTCAACTCTTGGTTGAAGTAAATAAAAATAAAATTTACTTTTTGAAGGAGAGAATTAATTTATTGAAAAGGATTTTCTTGGGTGAAGAGATTAACCAAATAGCATATATGCATAGCCTTTGGATACAGACAACAGTGTGGTGATGGACAGAGGGAGGGGGTGGAGGTTGGGTAGAGGTAGGCAAAGGAGGGGGAAATGGGGACATTTGTAATAGTGTCAACGATAAAAAAGGCTTTTCTTGAGTCCTTCCCGCACTGTTTCAGGCACCATGTGAGGATATGGCTCACTATGTCTCAGGTAGATGGAGAGGTTTTACAAAGTAGTAGATTTTAAGAACGATTGTGAATCAGGGAGAGGGCCATTTCCAGTAGAGGAAGCAGCATGAACAGAAGCAAGGATTACCTGAGAATGAAATAAAGATTTGCTGGGTAAAAGGCAAAAAGCAAGTTTGGAACAGGAGGTGTCTTATAAGTGAAGGTGTTCCAATTTTATAGCACTGGCTTTGGGAAAAGATGTCTCGACTTAATTCTGACTTGGCTGCTTCCTCATTATATGGTTTTGAGCAAATTACTGAACATCTCTAAGCCTTAGCTTCTCATCTGTAAAATAGAAATGATGATTCCAATGGTAGTGGTGATGGTGATAATCCCATGCCAGGACTGCGCTAATAGCTTGACTATTATTAGCTCATTTTAATCCTCACATCCTATAAGGTAGTTTTTGTTGCAGGCAAAGAAATAGAGTTTAGAGGCTCTGTGACTTGCCTGTGGTCTGGCAGCAAGTGCATGGCCGGGCCAGTGATTAACCCAGGCTGCCTGACTCCAGAGCTTCACTTCTAATCTCCACTCATGGGGTCTAAGATTAAATTATAAGTGAAATGTATATCAAGTGCCTAGAACAGAGCCTGGCACATTAATCACTCAATAGATAGAAGCTGTTATTAGCAATTTTTAGGACGACTGGGCAGAGACATTTGAGTTAGGAAGTGCTGTATATATTTGGTTTTGCTTTGCAGGTGGATGGCAGTCAGGGTGTGTTACAGGTGGGGCAGGCCAGGGGCAGGACTCATGAGGATTTGGACTAAGGCAGTGGAGATGTAGACAAAGGAGATGAATTCAAGATACCAAAGTCAGCCTCCCCTCAAGGTACTATGTGTGCTCAGGCAAAACTTAATTGACCAATACAATTTTTTAAAATAAATTTATACAAAAATTATTTACAAAGATTACTTGCAAAGATGTGCCAAATATAAAACTCACAACAATTCATATATGTAGCAACATACAAGCTACAAATCACCTTTACCACCGCCACCCGCAAACAATTTGCAGCAATTATATGTGTTACAAGTTACACCACCTATATTTCATTTCTTTGGAAAATTTTACATAATCTTGTTTGTAAAAACATGATTAATCTAAGCATCTTTGCATTTGTCCCATGTTTATTTATACCTACACTGTTTTAGATAAACAGATACGTTTACATTTAAAGACATTCTAAAATTTACTTTTGTATGTAACTGGACTTAATCCATAATAATTTTGATCTATAAATTTAGCACAAATAAGTATGACTCTAAATTGGCATTAAAATTTAAAAAGAAAGATTAATTAGAGCAGAAATGATCACACATGTCACCACTGACTACTGTCTGGTACCTGAGAAGAGCGGGAGAGTGAGCTCGGGATACATCCTGGCCAGTTCACATGACAAGAGGGCTAGTGACATGCTGTAGAGGGGTGGCAATGGGCCGTGGGTTCCATAGAGAATACTGCCAGGCCTTTGTTCAGCTACTTTCTTTGAGTAAACAAAAAGCTTTGCTTCAAGGATCTATAAAGAGGTAGGAAAGTAAGAAACAATACAGAAAAATATTGGCTACATCAGGAGCATTTCTATTTAATAAAGGTTCAAAGTAAACTAATGAATATAATAGTATCCAATATAGTAGTATTTAATATAGTTGTATTCAGTGGAGAGCATCAGTTAATTCCTATTTACAGTGATATGCACATATGATATAAATAAATGCATATCAAGAAACAGCAACCCAGGGATCAACCCCCATTTCTATTTTCTGTGCCCAAGGGTGGATGTTTCTGACACTAAATGGTACATGCCTGCATGAGCTGCATGGAGATTTCATAGGTTTCTCTGTTGGTGTCAGAGGCCTTAAATAGAACAAGGTTTAGCAATGTCACTATGTCGAAGGGATAGTTCCTAAAAAAAAAAAAGACCAAAAAGCACAGTTTATAAGACTGCCTGACTAGTAATCTTAATAAACCAATTACCTCTCAAATCCTAGAAGGCACACTGATCTCAGTCACACTTATTAATGACATCCCATGCTCATTTGGCAATTGTTTTGCCACCTTCTTTTTAAAAAAATTCTTTATTGTTAAAAGTATTACATGAGTCTCCTTTTCCCCCCCCATTGACCTCTCCCCACTACATCCTCCCCCAAGCACAAGCCCTCACCCCCCTACTGTCTGTTTCCATTGGTTTTGCTCAAATGCGTTCATACAAGTCCTTTGGTTGATCTCTTACCCACTCACCCCCCGCCTTCCCTCATAGGTTGGACAGTCTGTTCGATGCTTCTATGTCTCTGGTTCTATTTTTGTTCATCAGTTTATGTTGTTCATTATACTCCACAAATGAGTGAGATCATGTGATATTTATCTTTCTCTGACTAGCTTATTTCGCTTAGCATAATGCTCTCTAGTTCTATCCATGCTACTGCAAATGTAAGACTTCCTTCTTTTTTACAGCAGAGTAGAATTCAATTGTGTAGATGTATTGCCTCCTTCTTTTGCTGTTCATTAGTAGATAGAGGGAAATAACTCTATTTTTTGTTTAAAATTGAACATTGTCACACCAGGAGAAACAAACATTAAAAAATATATCTAATACACATACATTTTAATGAAAAACAAATACAAATAGAAAGGATAGCATTTAGATGACATGTTTAAATTTCTCAATAGCTCACTGATTTAATATTTTCATTCAATCTCTCTACATTTATTAAGCAAGAAACATATACCATGAACAATTGCAAAGTACTTATGATACTACTAGAGGCCCAGTGCACGGATTCATGCACTGGTGGGGTCCCTTTGCCTGGCCTGCAGGGATCAGGCTGAAACTGGATCTCCAACATTTCCTGAGGGGTCCCAGATTGTGAGAGGGCGCAGGCCAGGCCGAGGGACCCCACCAGTGCACGATCGGGGCCGGGGAGGGACTGTGGGAGGGCTCCAGGGCATGTCTGGCCCGTCTGGCCCAGTCCCGATGGGCTGGACCCTTGCAGCAAGCTAACGTACCGGTCAGAGAATCTGCCCCCTGGTGGTCAGTGCGCATCATAGAGACTGGTCATATGGTCAAGCAAACAGTCGGACCTTTGGCATAGTAGGCTTTTATTACATAGGATTAGTGAGGCTGGTCCCTTCACCTACGGGCAGCTTCCAGTATATTTAGGGAGATAAAACTATACAGTCTAGTTATGATTAGTGGTATGATGGCAGGCTGTGAACTCTCGATGAGGGACACCTAAATCAGAGTTGGGTCAGGAAAGGCTTTTCCCAGGGAGAGACAAATAAACTGAGCCTCAAGCCACAGGAGACATCAGCCAGGCCATGGAAGGGTGGTATGGGAGTGTTCTGGGCAAAGAGAACATTTTAAGAAATTACAAGAATGAAACAGCAAGATACCTTGTGAAAAGGAAAGACTCTCTGAGTGAAAGAAATAAGTAGAAGAATAGAAGGTGATGGGTCTGGGGAGGGGGGAGAAGTGTGAAGATCCTACAGGATTTGCAGTGGGGGTGGGGGTGAGGTTATGTGTTAAGAAATGACATTAGGTTTTGAACACTTACTCTGGCTGCTGAATGGAGAATGGGTTGCAGGGGGTCAATACTGGATGCTGTGACAATCATCCAGATAGGAATTGATAAGGGTTTGAATTAGGGCAGGGACAGTAGAAACAGAAAAGTCAGCAGGATTTGGTAATTGATTGTATGTGTGGTATGAAAGCTAGGGGAAAATAGGGACAGAGACAACAAAGTATGAGGCAATTAGAGGCATAATCAAATGGAACATGGAGATCAAATCCACTATTTCTTGCTATGGGATACTATTTAAAGATGATATCTTTTTACTGTATGCATTTTCTTAGCTATAGTGGAAATGAGGTCACAAATGGAAAACTTCTGGTGAGAAAACTGTTAGTGAATGGTCTGTACCAGAAGACTTCCAAGAAATCTATGGCATTTTTATACACCAATAGTGAACTTACAGAAAGAGAGATTAAAAAAACAATCCCATTTACCATTGCACCAAAAAATTTAAGATACTTAGGAATAAACTTAACTAAGGAGGTAAAAGACCTGTACTCGGAAAACTAAAGGACACTGAAAAAAGAGATAGAGGAAGACATAAACAGATGGAAGAACATACTGTGTTCATGGATTGGTAGAATCAACATCATTAAAATGTCCATACTACCCAAAGCAATCTATAGATTCAATGCACTCCCCATTAAAATACCAACGGCATATTTCACAGACCTAGAATGAACTCTCCAAAAATTCATCTGGAATAAAAAAAAGACCCCGAGTAGCTGCAGCGATCCTGAGAAAGAAGAACAAAGTAGGAGGGATCTCGATACCTGATATTTATTTTAAGGCAACCTTCAGAAAGCAGAAGGTAGCTTGAAGGTGAAAAACATATTGGTTATTCTGTGGGTTCCTTTATTGATTGTATATAATTACACTGTCTCAGAAGTTCTGTTTTGGAACTTTCACTCTTCTAGAAAGGCACAATCCTACTATGAATACAGGCCCATCTTATGGTAGGTAAGCTTAGTGAGAGATTATAGTGAGAGTTGCTTAGACACATAAAAAAAGATTTGTACTTTTTATATTCTATATTACTTAAATTTTAATTTCTTATGGTACTAGTAATACATGAATATATTTTCCTTTTAAAAGAAACACATGAGGCTGTAGGACCCACTCTGAAGATTCTCCACTTACATGGCTGGCAAGTCAGTGTTGGTTGTAGGCAGGTGCATAGAATAAAATGTGGATGTGCCCCATCTCCTTTTCTCCCTCAGCCATTGCTTCTGACCCTACATGCAACCACTGTCAACATTTTGGTGTGTGTCCTAGCCCTTTTCTAAGTCGATATACAAAGATGTGTATGTACATACCCCACCCTCACTACATAGGATTTTAAACATAAATGTGATTACACTACCTACATGTAGTGCTTGGAGTTTAGGTTTTACAGTGAACAATAAGGCCCACTTCAGACTTCTTTAAAAGCTGCAAAGTATTCCAAAGTGTGGATAGACTATAATCACTTTTGTAGGGGATGCAGTGGTGTGCCACTTAGAGTCCCCTTTCAGAACCCGGCACTCAATCCTCCAACTGAAGTTTTGGAGGTTGATATTGCTGGCTGAACCCTCTCTGGGAATTGCCTTCAGCCTGAGAGATGTACTCCGGCCAAGGTCATGCTTGCTCCCCAGCAGCAGCAGCCCCTGTGGGACTGGTTGAAGTTTTCACTCCTCTGCCCAGTTCTACTTCCTTCACTTCCCCATAGATGTTGACCTCGTGGGGTTTTACTAATGAATTTCCTGCACTCAGATCCTCTGTTATTCTCATTTTTTCACTATTATAATGCCACAAACACCAGATGTGTAAGTATTTATTTAAAACAGATGCCTACAAGACATCATGCAGGGTCAAGGGCACATTTAAATTTTGGGGAGATACTGCACTATTGCCTTCCAAAATGGCTTTACTAATTTGCACTCCAAAATAATTACTTTTCTAGAACTTTCAGTTTCAAAAGAACAAAAAAGCATGAGGCTGATGTGTCAGATAGAGAACTGGGGAAAGCCCCCAGACGATGGTGGTGAAGAGGATGATGAAGAATAGGTGACGTTTATGTTATGATGTGTTTACTTTGTGCCAGTTACTGCCTTTACCTAGATTTGTGATTTAATTGTCACAAAATGCTGGTGAGGTTTAGAGAAGCTAAGCACTTGCCCAAGGTCACATAGAAGTAGTGGATCCTAGACTCCCTCCTGGATATGCCTAACTCCAAAGGATTCATGCGTTTACCCACAGTGTTCCTAGCAGCCCACAGCAGAACATGTCACAACCAGTCTACATTGGAATTCTTACAAACTACAATATCTGGAAGCAGACCGTTCTGATTGTGAAAATAGAAAGGACGTTTTCTTCTGAGCCCCATAGTGCAGAGGTGGCCCTACCTATATCTCTATCTTTGACACTGGGACTTAATTCATATATATTTATATAAAGAAGAATACTAGAAACACTACTTGGAATTTAAAGGCAGGAAAAGAAAAGATAAAGCCTGTCTTTTAAGTGGGGCTGTGCACTTGACCAAGTAATGAGGGCACTCATTAGTTGCTTAAGAATGACCTGTGGAATTTATGTTGAAACAATACTGAGAAGAATAACACAGATCCAGAAAATGAAAGAAACCCAGATAAGGAAAAGTGAGAAAGATATAAAATGAGCAAAAGAGAACACATAAACCATGTGAATGTAGTTATATTAAACAGGCTTAGAAATGGAATCTTATACCTCCCAGCATTTAATTATTCACCATAGGCCCTCTGGAATGGCACAAGATGAATAAAGGCAGCTGTGATTGTACAGATTAAAAATCAAATGGTGAAATAAATGTGGAAGGTAGGTATGATTCAGAAAGTACTAGTAAACAAGAAATAAAAGTGTTTTTTTCAATCTAGAAAAGAGAACATTTTTAAAAACTATATTTTTTATTGATTCAGAAAGGAAGGGAGATATAGAAACATCAATGATGAGAGAGAATCATTGACCAGCTGCCTCCTGCACGCCCCACACTGGAGATCGAGCTCACAACCTGGGCATGTGCCCTTGACTGGAATTGAACCCGGGACCCTTCAGTCCACAGTCTGACACTCTAGCCACTGAGCCAAACCAGTCAGGGCTAGAAAAGAGGAGATTTCTGAAGAATTTGGGAAATGCCCACTAGCTATGGTTTCTTTAGAACTAAATGACAAAGGATAACTTTGAGGGATTCTTTTAATAGATATTACTACTCAATGGAGGGGATTACTCTGTAGCTTTTTGCTTCTAACAGCTAGTGAATAATAGTGTCTACAGGGTGCTTTTTAGGTGCCAGGTCTCAGATCAAGAGACTTATTTTATT